AAAGAACGGTGATATATAAACGAAATAAGAACGTATTCCCACGTATTTCTTTAATATAAGCACCGAGGTTAATTAATATACAAAAGATTAATTAATATATAAAGATGAAGTACGTAAATTAAAGGTCCGCGCGTATAAAATAGATTGCGAACGTGCGCAAATTGATCATGCGAAAACGCGCATGATTGCGTACGTAAGTATTTGCTACACGGTGATAGCTTGTGTAGCTACTACACGGATAGATTGGTAGAAGAAGGAGTGAAATAGAACAAGTTCAGATTAAGTGAGAACAACTGTGAAATAAGAGCACGTAATCGAGGTCACTGGCGTGTCTTTGAAAAGGTTATCGAACGTAGTCTACCCAGATTTGAAATCGGTCACATTCGTACTCTCAAAGTCACCCGCAAACATGCTGCCGTTTCCACGACTCCTGAAGGCCACGTTGACCGTCGCTCAAGGAGCGAAAGGGTTATCCACCAGTGCTAAAGTAAGTCTTTGTAAAATCATTCAGAAGCTTTGTCAAGTATCGTTTGCACCACCCAATCCATCAATCCTTTACGCCCCTTTTATTCGTTTCATTTCCCATCAAATGTGTGATTCCTTTGGATAAAAGATCAGAGCAGCGATATGAATATATAATTTCTTAATAGTTATGCAACATGGAACATTCTTTAAAAGCTACCGCTTGCAATATAATGAAATATTATCTGATTCTTAACATCGTACGAATTTTAGTTAAGAAATTATTCGTTATTAATCGTTAGAAATTCAATACGTAATTCGCGATGGAAGTGGAACAGTAGAGAAAAAGTTACAGATCGGGATAAATACGTACATGCACATTTTAGATCGTTGGCAATTTGTTGGTATTCTTTCAGCGCAATGGCAAGGTTGCAATTTTGGGAGCGAGCGGAGGAATCGGTCAGCCGATGTCGTTACTCATGAAGCAATCGCCGCTTGTAAGCGAATTGTCATTGTACGATATTGTACATACACCGGGTGTTGCTGCCGATCTTTCGCACATTGATACGCCCGCAAAAGTAAAGGCATACAACGGTCCAGATCAGTTGAGAGATTCACTTAAAGGATGTCAGGTGTTTAAATCATTTATTATATTTACATAAAACATCTGAACATCTTGTTCTAAAAGATATTTTTAGGTGATCCTTATCCCCGCCGGTGTGCCACGAAAACCGGGAATGACTAGAGATGATCTCTTCAACACAAATGCTTCAATAGTGAGAGATCTCGCTCAGGCTGCGGCCGAAGTAGCACCGAAAGCTTTTATTGCCATTATTTCGAATCCGGTCAATAGCACCGTGCCTATCGCTAGCGAGGTGCTGAAAAAGGCTGGCGTTTATGATCCGAAAAGAGTATTTGGTGTAACGACACTCGATATTGTCAGAGCGAACGCGTTTATCGCTGAAGCTAAAGTTAGTACAATGGATTTAAGAAGCTAATTTTGTACGCACGTATGATACACGAATGTCTTTTTAGGGTCTTAACCCACAGGACGTGTCGGTGCCAGTTATTGGAGGTCATAGCGGTGTCACCATTATACCGCTGATTTCGCAAGCTAAGCCATCAGTTTCATTTCCAGAAGACAAACTTAAGGCTCTGACAGTGAGAATCCAGGAAGCTGGCACGGAGGTTGTTAAAGCCAAAGCTGGCGCTGGTTCTGCAACCCTTTCAATGGCGTACGCTGGTGCCCGATTCGGTATGTCCTTACTCAGGGGACTTAAAGGAGAGAAGGTGGTAGAGTGCACCTTCGTACAGTCGAGCGAAGTCAGCGGCGTTAGTTACTTTTCAACGCCCGTTGTCTTGGGTGTAAGTACTAATCATTGGATTTCAAAAATCTACATTTCAAATGTCGTGTTTATGAGAAACTCTTTTTGTAGAAAAACGGACTTGAGAAGAATCTTGGCCTCGGCACGCTCAGCCCCTTTGAAAAACAGTTACTGGAACAGGCTATTCCAGAGCTCCAAAAGAATATCAAGAAAGGAGAAGACTTCGTTAACAAGAAGTGAACTTCTTGAATCGAAACGTTATACAGATCAAGTGATTAAGTTATTAAATGAAATCCGTTATCTTCAGTATTGATTACGAAGAATATTCGCGTTGTACGCGAACGTGAAGCGTTATGCAAAAAGACAAAACAAATACCGAATTCTTTATACATACTGTTAGTAGATGAATAAGAATGAATTTGACAAAATTTAAATTCACTTTTGAATACTCAATATGATAGGAAAACAAAATGTGCAGGAACGTAAAAAGTTACAGATAATATTGTTAATATTCTAAGGATAACGTTCATAGAGCGTGTTTGAAGGAAATGAAATGTCGAACACCAAAGTCGTTGTAGTTGATCTGAAAATAAAAAAGAAAATGCTAATTTTTAAGGAAACTATTATTTACCCTTAAAATTTTCTCTTTTCTCCTTGCAATATCGGGTGGACACTGACTAAGATATTAAATTACATTATACGACAACACTACGAAAGCTTCTTCCTTTGGCATCAAAATAAATATTAGCAACCTTTGACTGAAAGTACAATGTCATTTGTGTATCGAAGAAATAGGACGGTTCAATAAGTAAACTACTTCAGTTTAAAATACTTAATTCTGGTGCCAGTTGAAGTGATTCGTATGAAAAGTGCTCTGATCCCATTTCTTATTTTCAAAATGTTAACACCTTCTTGATCAAGGATCCACGTACTAAACTGGATCCAAATATTCCATTCAAACATCAAGTGATCAGCCTAAGAGGATATGGAAACAGCAAAACGAAAATGCTACAAGCGATCTCGGCACAAACAGTTCTTACATCAATCTCAAGAGTATTTACTGTATAGTTCGGATTCTTCTAACGATGATGGGATTGGAAGCAGTAGAAATTTCAAGAAAATTTGTGATTCCTCTGAACGATTATTGCATCAACGATCCCCGGAATCCGTTCTTTTCGAATCGCAACCACTCGATTTATCATGCTACGTCGAACTCAGCCCGGAAATTTTACCCAGTCTCCGACGAAGAAAATTAGATTTAAATGGATCGGAGAAATTCGATAAGAAAGAAATTATTGAGAATGACAATGAGTTAGAAATTTCCGAAACGACGCAAGTAAATAATAAATTATCGCAGCAAAACAGCGATGTAAACTGTTTTCCGTTAGACAAAACGTTGTCAATAAATGACGAAATTAAATCAGACATGAACGCTTGTCAATCTATGCAAAAGATCGAATCTTTCTCAACGATTGAGCATAGTGTTTGTAATTGCGATACCAATCTCCGATCCTCGAAATCTGTTTATGATATGCCTTGCAATTACGTTTCAGAGCCACTGCAAAATACTAATTTTAATTCAGAACTGATACCACGGAATCATGAGTGTCATAATTTTTCGAACAACTCTCAAACGACAATTTTTTTTTGCGAATCCGACGGCATCAGACAGGGCGGGCGTACTAGATTCGAAATAGTTAACGAGAAAAATTTACGAGATTCAACCGAAAGTAGATCTGCTAGCAACTGGGACGAGTGTAAACGAATTCTTTCGAATTTACGACAATTAAACAGTTTCAAAGTGCGAACCGCCAATCACGAGTTCACTGCAAATACGTTACCAAGAAATAAAAAATTTGAGGAAACCAGCTGGTTCTCGTGTAACACGTCTTCGGTTACTTCGGAGGACAATTCAAACGAACGCGTTGCTAAACGCCCGCGCCCTTTCAATGAAACTGACAAGATCGATGATAAAATCGACGATGATAAAAGTTACGGACAAGAAAGAAATAAAACGACGAGAATCAGGGCTCGTTCGACAACCCCTTGCAGTGGATCACCGCCGCCTGCAAAGAGATGTCGGACCACGCTGAAATTCGATGATGACGAAGAAGTGGAGAGACCGCAGGAACCACCTGCTTCTGTTGCGGTTATTCACTTGTTGCCAGTGGAAAAAAATAACGATCGAAGTTACGCTTGTCCAAATGCGAAGATCAGCAAAGCACGTTGGAGCGGTGTTAGCACGGAATCACCGACCACTTCGATATTGGACCTTCCGCTCGTATCAGACTCCGGCGGCTGTAGCAGATGCCTTAATGAAGTAATTTCCTTTCATTTTTTAAAAGACACTTTATTACCTCGAATCACTAGTGTTGCGATGGCATTATCGTTTGCAGCTCGAACAGATTAGCGAATACCGGGTCAAATGCGTGTGCTTCCAGCAAGAACAGAAACCGGCAATTAAATTTGTTAAGAAACCTATAACAAGGATCGTTCTGTTCTGTGTATGGCTGATAAAAAGAATGGCAATCTTATTAAAGAAAGTAAGTATAATTGTTCAGTTAAAAAGGAACCGCGCTCATTAAAACTGTTGCAGAGTTACGGAAGTTTCAAACAAGTTGTTTCGACGTCCTCGTCTAAGAGGAAGCAGATAGAAGAACTGAGTCGAATGGTAACGATGTTACGCTCGGAGAACGAGCAGATGATTAACATGTTTTTGGAAAAAATTACACGTTTGTCCGACGAAGTTATCCAGGTATATCATCGCATGTTTAAAAAATCCAACAAATCAAATGAATGTGCAGATAATAGAAATGTCACGCATCTTCATGTATAATTCTCTGTATTCTGCTACCCACATCGTTCATATATTAAATGAGACCTGTTAGCATAATTTGTTATCGCAGGTACGTGCGAGTAACGTAACCGCTCTCGGTTCTTTGACCGCAGAGGTCAATAGTATGCAGGAGGTTAGTAAGAAGCTCGTCGGAAACAACGACACGCTGATGCAAGAGCTGAGAAAGCTGCACGAGGTTTTAGAGAACGTAAAGCCAAATTCCCCGAAGAAACTGCCGTCTCTTCCACCCCCAATGCCATCGGTTTCAATGATGACCATCCCATCAGTTATTGTTCCTCCGCCGGCTACTGCTCCTCCTCCTCCACCGCCACCTCCTCCACCGCCTCCACCTCCTCCTCCTCCGCCACTTCCACCACTTCAATTACTTCAGTCGCCGGCCAACTTAATTACCCCAACTACCCCAAATAACGGAAGAACCATCAGGTCACCCGCAAGGAAGTGCTCGACACCGCTGCTTAATAGACCGAGTATAACCGTGGAGGATTTGCTGAAAGTAACACTAAAGAAAGCACCGCAGAACATTAAGGTAATTGTTCTTTAGCCTTATAGTCCTCGTCCAACCGGATTTGTCAAACTGGAATTGCCCTTGATATTACAGGAGAACAGGCGAAATACTATACCAGGACCAAAAGGACCCGTAGTCTCTTTAGACATGTTACGTAGTGTCAAATTAAAATCTGCCAGGCGCAGAACGGCTGATCAGATCGCAAGATCTCCGAGAGGCACTCGGATGATCAAGACACGTACAGTATCGAGTCTCAGCTTGTCACCGATTACAGATAACTCGCTGGGTAGAATTCTGAAACAGGTCGATCTTAATAGACGGCCGAGACGTCTGATGTCCAACCCATCGAGCTACGATATTAACGGGGAAGATAAACAGTCGCCGAGTACACAGAGGAAAGATAGTGAATCGTAACCCGCGATTGCGTAAGTACACAGTACACAATCGTTGATAATCGCGGATTAGGGAAAGTTCATTTTATCAGTCCGAAAGATGTGTATATGTATATCGTTTTAACGTGTTAAGTTATATTATTTATCAATACGCTCAGATTCGGTCGCATAGTAAATACAAGATAATAAAATCTCTTTTTCGATTATGGATACGAAGTGTGGCGAATACTTTTCACAGAATTTTAGTAGAGTACGCGCAGATTGAATTTCATATCTTATTTTAATTGTTGACTTGAAAAAATCCGCATTACGATTCGGTGGAAAACATTGTCACATTTAGTTTGGGAGTTTTAGATAACTCGGATTTACGATAAGAGAAACATTTTACACACATATTCAATTATGTTAACTGAGAATAACGCATTGTAATAAGTAACAATCGCAAATAAAGGATTCTTCGATTAGAGAGTTGTAATTACTTTATTTATAGCTTTCACGTGTGTGTGTGGTTTTACAGAAAAAATTCGTACCCGGTGTAATCGCATTGATTGTAATAGTTAAATTAGTAGTAGTAGTACAGAGCGTGAGAATGTATATGCGAATCGGAAAAAAGAAAAGACAGATTTTTTTTAGCCTCTCCTCCAAATTACGATAAACTTTCTTGATATCCAGATCTAATCATTCGCTTTATGGATTAGTGACAAGATAGAATAATTCGAAGATAATTACAGAAAGGTGGAAAGAGATATACATATATAATATTCGATACGAGACAAGGGAAACGATGGCACGTCTAAAAAGATGGAGTAGACATATCAACTGTTATGTTATATGTCATTTCTTTCTTCTTTCTCTTATTTTCTTTTTATAACAATCGATTAAACACGCATAACGGTACCTGAAAAAAGAATGAAAGCGATCCCAATATAGGTACGCTTTTCGTTAACAGCACTACAATAAAATTCAGGTGACATCAATGCCTACCTATCATTTCTATTTTACCAGAGATTTTCTCTTTGATTTCACTTAGGAACACTCTACATTATTCAATTCATTTCATAATCAGTTACGCGTTACATCATCGCGGTAATAATAAATTTTATCGCTTTGAATTACTTCATCTTGTTCTTAATCCATCATGTAAGCAAATAATTGAATGAGGCATCTCACAATTTATCGTCCTTTGGAATTCATTTTTAACGCCACATTCGTTGCCACTGACAAGCAGACACTTTATTGTACACCAAATTGTTCTTCTCCGGAGACTTGCCACTCGTACGCGTGGTATGTTATGCACATGCACGTATGTATGTAAACTATTTTAAATATCATTATCCGCGTGTGATGATACTGATGTTGTCCTCTGATTCTCTACTGTTCTTCATAAATGTACTTCCGTTCACGGTACTCCGTTACCCTCCAAGGTGTCTTCAACGCGATTATCAATATTATTGACGACGACGCATTTTTTAAGTACGAAAATTCGCTCTTAAAAGATGCTGTTGTCGGCAATATTGGTCGAACGATTCGCATGAATTTTTCTTTTCAACTTCCTCGATACCCTAGTTTCACGGTCTTAAGATTACTCGCATATACTTACTTACGATGCCGGTGATATTACTTTGAGTTATTCTTTGTAACGTTACATTATAAATCTGTATCGTATTATTAATACCTAAATAAATATAGGGACACGATGTACACCGAAAATTTCTAGGCAGAACTCTGGATTGTTCAGTTTGCGCATTTCCTTCTCGGCGTTTGATCTTGTTTAATTCCTCTTTGTTCTGAGTATACACCTCGCTTTCTTGCTGCACGCTTACGGTTTTGTTGCAAATTATCTTTGATGTTATTTTTGCTTACTGTATATGTAACGAGAAAGGACTGTGCAAAGTTTCAGATTCTGTTTTTCTCGGTGATACAGTGGCGATTAGAAATTTATGGTACACGATTGAAATGTGAATTGCAATGAACTTCTGCTTCACCATAACGACTGCGCACGTAAGCTTCTTTATATTCTAAATAATCGAGCGATCGTTAGGAATGTTGAACGTGGAACAATTGCATTTGAAGAATTCTTTTACAACGTACACAGATTTTAAATTACGCTATTTACCACGATAAACAAATATTTCTACAGTGAATCGCCAACATTCTTTTAGTTGGGAAGAATATACAAACAGAATGAGTAAAGAAAAAGAATATCTTCATTTTTTCTTGTTTACTTCATAAGCGGAAATCGACGGAATGGTTTATCGATAAAAATGTGAATGAACATATTACTGAGATCAATGAAAGTATGAGAATGGAATCGAGGACAGTGATAGCGGAAGTGAGCGCGGGTGAAAAGAGAATCGGGATACAATCGTTTATTCTGCAATTTGTTATACCACAGCGATCGTTATAGTATACACAGGGGCGTATGAAAAAGTACAACCACAATTACAGACTAGCTAGGATAGCTACTTGGTTTTCTGCCTGTTGAACGTAATTTATTTTTTTCTATCCATTCTTTTCATTTAAAAGCTCATCTACCATGATTTTTTATGTATCCTTTTCTCGACGATTCCCCGATGCTCTTTTGCCGCATCGAAGAGATGCCGCTGATCGTTGCCCGCGAAAGAACATGCGTCACGCCGAGAACGGTGTTCAATCATGTCACTGGTTAAAATAATGTTCACTTTGATAAAACGTAAAATTTAAAACTGCGAAAGCTAGACTTAAGACGGGCCGATGTTCCTGCACTTTTCCTTTTAAGTACAACGCTTTCGCGGATTAGTGCAAGTCCTTTTCGATCATTTACAAATGATTACACTGGGAACTCATGTTCGAGACTTATATGAAATTATTTGCTTTGCGAGTCGGGACACTTCATCCGAGGAAGTACATTCAATAATATCTTATACACACAGAAAGCAGAGATGAAGTCGCGCGGTTCTATCCTGACTGTGTACTCGCATCACCACGTAAACTTCAGCTCTGGAGGAAATGCGTTTATCCCTTAGATAAACAGATGATTTACATTCGATTTATACACGCATACATTAATAATATCGTTATTCGTCGTAGTATGCGAGGAGTAAATGATGCGCGCAGTAAAAAAGCGGGGAAAAGGACGAGGAGACGTCGGGGATAGGGTTGAAAACAAACGAACACAATATGTATATGCACTTTCAATCGACGTCGAGCCAGTAGGATGTTTCGATATTGATGAGATGTTATGTTGAGGGATAATGTAATTCGTTCTCACACACTGAGTTCTACATAAACGAAGGTTTATTCTGACTGGATTCATGCGTATTGTTTTTTTCTTTCATCCTTCTTTTCCCTCGTTTCTAATTAATACAGATCAATATACGCGCTCCGTCGATGTCCACTTAACATTCTCGACATCGTCCATTGAATTTTAACCGGATATACACAGTGCTAAAGACAGTATATATATATATATATTTACTTGGATTTTTCATTTTTGTTTCTTCTGGATGAACGCAAAAGAAGGCAAAGCATCGGATGCCTCTCTAAACGCTCTTGCATTCTCTATAAACCTCAGAGTGCGTGCCCATTTTGTTTTGATAACTTTTCTGCGCGCTCCGTATAATTCAACGTGTGTTATGTATGTGTGTTTGTATATGTTTCAAATGATTTTTTTTCGCTTTTTGTTAATGTATTTTTTTGGAGTAACCGTACGTACGTGCGTGCTTAGGGTCACGCAATCGCTAAAGATCTCCCCTTCCCACCCCGAACTTCCACCTGCTTGAATTGTTTTTTTCTTTTGCTTACAAGTTATTAAGAGTTTTTTGCTTTCTTGTGTTTTTTTCAGTTTTATATACGCAAGATAACACTCACTACAGTTAGAGTTACGATACGTCCTGATCTTCCACGTCTTGCAACTGCTCCTTCTGTTCGCCCTCCCCTATATAACACAAAAACAAAATTACAATTAAAAAAACAGTTTCGTCGCAATATGATAAAGTGCCGCGATATGATCAATTAATAAGGCCGATAAGGCTATTGTGAAGGAAAGTTATGTGTATCATCCGAAATTTATTAAAATATCTGGATGAAATCTTAAAGGGAAAATGATGGACAAGGATGGATGGAGTTGCTCACCGGATGACTTATGGTGTAAGAGCTTATCGGAGAGGACGTGCCTGAATTCATGCATTGGTGGAAACGGCCGCAGCCTCGTGTTCACGATCAGCTTCGAACTCTAAATTATAAGCTAATCATTTCTCGTCCGTGTACACGTGTAAAAATTCTTTCAGAACAGTACACCATTCACAAAAACATTATCGCACTCTACTATACGATTTTATCTCGGTAGAGTGAAAAAAATCTGATATAACGAGAAGATTTTATCGTACCGCTACGAGACATATTATTGATCGCGAAAGCAACGTCACTTCTATGACCTAGTATCGGCAACAAAGTTTTTAAACGCGACTGTTTTCCACGAGCAAGACTCGCATACTAACCATCTCCTTGTATATCCGACGTCCAAAGGGTAAGATTGTCCCTAAGAAGCTGCATAATTAAGGTAGAATCTTTATAACTCTCTTCGGACAAGGTGTCTAATTCCGCGATCGCGTCATCAAAAGCTGCCTTCGCTAGACGGCACGCTCTGTCGGGGCTATTGAGAATTTCATAATAGAACACGGAGAAGTTAAGCGCCAATCCTAGACGTATGGGATGAGTCGGTGGCAGGTCCGTCATCGCAGTATCGCTCGCCGCTTTGTAGGCAACTAAAGAGTTCTCCGCGGCTTCCTTCCTGTCGTTACCGACGGCGAATTCGGCAAGGTAGCGGTGGTAATCACCCTTCCTATAATAACACATAGAAACATTGAATCACACTACAATATATTCAGAATCTTTTGCTTTACACCAAATTTAACATATTAATCCATTGTTGTTAAATCTAATAAATTGCCAGCACTCGCAAATTATCTGCAAGTTACTCGTGTGAATCGTGGATGCAGACGACTGAAAGTTTTAGAAAACAATATAGGTACCTCGAAAATCAGTGACCGAAACGAAACGTTCTTCCGTGCTACTGGTCACCTTTAAATCTAAACTGTCGTACCTTGCAGTCAGAAACAAATGCTATTTTAAGAAGAGTTTCGGAATTTGCTAACGTTGTATGAACGAATATGCAAGAATGAATAAAAATGTGATAAGAGATTAATAAAAATCCTTACATTTTGTAATAGAAGACTTTCGATTCGCCAGTGGACGCGCACGGAATCAGATGTTTGTCTAAAACTCCCAGAATATCAGCACAGATGTCTTTCAGCTCCTTCTCGACCTGAGATCGGTACTGGCGGATCATCTCTAACTTCCTCTCGGCACCCTTGTTCTCTTCCTTTTGTTCGATGTTTGAGATTATTCTCCAGGAGGCCCTCCTCGCTCCGATCACATTTTTGTAGGCGACAGAGAGTAGATTCCTTTCCTCGACGGTAAGCTCCACATCCAGCGAGGCGACCTTTTTCATCGCCTCGACCATCTCTGCAAAATAACAACGGCGAGATCATCGCCGTCCATGAACGTGCCATTATATTGAAAATCAACATTAAATAAATAGAATCTATTCCAACAAGCATGGAAACTATAGAAGTGAAATTTTGGCCCTGATGAAAAATGAAGAAAAAAATATTAGGAATATTGTTCGAAGAATATGGAAATTAAAACGAAAGTGTGTATCGTACCGTTCTAATAGAGGTTTCGAATTTCCCGTGGTATATTACACGCAATCATGGCAAAGTAATGAATCGGAAATGATCTATTGATTAATACACAGGTGCACCGTGTGCATGTGTGTACGGATATATTATAAGGTTCATCTGGGATGTTATAGAAACTCTGCGCAAGGAAGACCGGCATACAGGCATATATTAACCTAATGCCCCTTGAACTTTGCGAGAAGGTTGGTTACTATTGTGTATTTATCATCAATAGTTGTACAACGTTTAAGAATAATGATATCAATCGCTTGCTTTCATCTGGATTTTACTACTTTCCTGAACTGCAAAGGAACTGATTAACGAATCGTTGACGTATTCCGTCATGTTCGCCACTAGAAATCAATAAAGTAAAGCAGCATGCGTGCTAATATATTACTTTGCCTTAGCTACATCAAATTTGCAATATCTTAATTGAATCGATAAATTAATATAAACTTTTTTTACTGAGTTTAGTTAAAAGAATTGTCTACATGTTGTGTATTGTGACGCTCTACTTATAGACGATATCAAAATCTGTGGCATCCTGATTGGATCGATAAACGGGCGCAAAAGTTATTAAAGGGGCATGCAATAAACGAGAGACGAAGAACAGCATTAACGGAATCAGTTATTATCAGTGGAACGATGCAAGGTTCTTGAAACAGAACCGGTAGCATAATTCATCACGCTCTTAATTTGTAAATCACGATTTTATATAATATGTCATGTAGTTTTAGGACTTAAAGTTTGTCGAATTTTGCTCTATACGATATAGATTTAAAATTGTTTAAGAAGTTTTGTTATAGTTCTTCATTTGGGATATACATGTATGTATTTAGAGGCCGGTGATGTTCCGTCAATATGCCCACGAAATATGTATTCTCCTCGTGGAAAGGATTAACGTGTACTGCCTCCCTTTATTATCGTATCGGCATAGGATTAACAAACATTTCATGGTGACATTTACGAGAAGAGATCAGGCTCAAGTTCATGGTGGTTCCGGGCGGTGAAAATTACCGTGAACACGGTATACCTGGTGATGGAGGTGTACAGAAACGTGGGATAGCTAGTACAGATCAATACTTTCCTTCTGGTGCGGCCTCTCTTCTCCCCCACTCCGACTGTTCATCTCACCCCTTGCCGTTCTCACCCTTCGCTTGTAATCTCTCCCGCCCGTCCTCTACCCTCTTCCTGCTCTTCGTCTAACCGTCTCGTGTCTTACTCTCGCAACCCTCAAATTTACCCATCGCCCTTCCTTCTCCGTATCCCGGGAGAGTCGCATCGACCCCTCTCCCTTCTACCCTCTCATTCTTCACGCTTAGCGGCCATCTCAACCCGGCAGACTCCTATATGCATGTATTTCCACCCTTTAATATGTCTCTGTCTCGATTAACATTGCCCACGCGGTGACAAAAATGACGAAATTATAAAAAGCCGCTTCGTAGAACGAAGAGAAAAATTGTGTATCTTCGATTGGTACGCTGTACTGGTAATCCTCTGTCCCTTATCTCAGATATTTTAGAAATGAGATTTCCAATCATTTCTTACACTTGACCAAAAGCTAACCAAATTTATGTATTTCTAAATGAAATTATATAAATTTGGTCAAATTCCTTGAAATGGCAAAAATTCTCAAATAGCTGTTACAGCTCACTATAATGAATACATATTGTGAAATAGCTATAAGTTTGTTACTAAACAGAAACTAGTTTGCGAGACACATGAATCACCGAACGGTTATGAGAAATCTACAGGAAGATATGTAAGTGTTTCCGGAAAATGTCAAACATGTTCATTTGATTCGCAAGCCTGATAACGTATCCCACGAGACAAAGAGCACTGCGTAAAATATATCTACGAGAAATGCAAAACGAGAGGTTCTTCAAACGAAGAGGTCTGACTGTTTTTTCTACCACTGTCGACTGTTCCACTGTGAGGTACTTTAATAACCAAGAGTCAAAACAAAAAGTTCTATGTACGCATAAAATTGTAAAGCAACGGACACAGTATAATGAGAAAGGAAATTGCTTTCATTGCTTCATTGTACAATGAAGGATGTAGAGAGAAAGTACCTATGAAAAGAATGTAACATAATTTTCCAAAAGCGTTACCGTGGATCTGTCTGTAGATTGACCAAATGATTTCTCTCTGCTTTCAAGGCCAAATGCCACGAGCAGCACATGCGTTACTACGTGTCTAAAGAGTAACCCGGCAGCGATTGGTAAGTATCGTGCCGCGTCTATGCGTCACACACGTCGGTGAAGGACCGACTTATCCGGTTATCTGTTGAGGTCCCCATAAAGTATACTGAGTATAACACGCTTAACAACGTCGCCTCGGCGTTCGCTCGAGCTCAAGATGACAAAACAATTCTTAACGTGAACCCTTCGCCTCTTGTTATGATCCGTAGCAAGGGCTCCAGAGAATTCACGTATCATGACAGAGTCCGGCGGAGCGGTGACAGAAGCTAAGAACGAACCCACCCTTTGATAAAGGAATACCGGTCACGAACCGGCGAGTCGGCCACCGCCGTATGCGGAATAATCATATTTGACGTTTCACAGACTTTTGACAGATCTGACCAGGCCTGATTCCGTTTAAGGTTTATAAAGAAACTTTTGCTATATTCAACGAGATCTAACGACAGGGAACGCCACGAGGGCGGTGGTACCTCCTTTCTCTTCGTACCCGTGCTTTGTACCGATTTCGTGGATTTCATTTTGACGCAGGCCGGGTCCTTTCCCCGGAAAATATCCACTCACCGTCATAGCGCTCCGCTTGCTCAGCCAGTTTCGCTTTATAAACGTTGTCCTCCCGTTCCGACATCTTGGATGCTCGTGGATTTCACGGGTAGGCGAAGGGTTCCAGGGAAATCGCACGAAATACTCGTTTCACCGAAATACGTACACCTCGTCGTACAGCCACTCGCAAGCTCACTGACCAAGATGGCGGCGCCCGCCAACAATCGAAAGCAGTTCCCATTTCGCGCAGCCTCTGCAGACGCTCCACTCGCCATGCGCTTTAGCCGTGTATTACTACGCGTGACGTCATCCGTTAACGACGTCGCGCGCATGTCGGTTAAATTCACTGACTATCCAATAAAATTACCTACTATCAGCTACTACTTATCAACGAAAACATCGCTGTATCTTCATCTTCTTTTCTTCCCAATTACGATATATAATGTGTGTCTAACACATATTTCGCGTATACGTCATAAAATTAATGACGCGATCACTTGTTCGAACACTGAAGTGTACGTAGATGCAAAAACGCGGAGCGATAGAATAAATCTTTGATGGATGCATTTGTTGTTATTCTTAGTAAATATTCTCTATATAAATAGTCTCAATTTGTAAATAACTTTAATACCGAAGGATTTTTATGTTTGACGGACTTATACATATATGTATATATAATGAAAAGATAAGAACTACGGTAACTTATTGGTGTACGTAAAATCAAAAGAAAGGTTCCAGTGTGTTCCATGGCACCGCGCGAAATATCAAAATAAGGTTTTCTGTAACATAAGGTAAATGGATCATTCACTGGGTTGTTGATGATATATTCAATGATAGATGTTACCCGTTCAAGATGATTTTTAATTTGATACAATAAATCAATACAATTTGTTTGATGGAACAAAAAACTACGGTTATTTATCGTATAAATAATTGCACCATTTGTGCGATCAACGGGTGTTACAATAGGAGATACGCCAAAAAGGCAATCACATGAACGCTACAAAGATCGATTTTGTAGCGAAGCATTTTCTTTTTTAATATAATATGTATCGTTCCACACGAATAGCTAATGTACAAGCACTATTATAATCCAAACATCTGGTCTATCCATCTTATTATTTTTGCTTTAAATTATTTATTTTATAGTTAATTTGTATTTATATGTATACAGATATATCCGATTATAATCAACTATTAAAATTATAATACAGCCAAATACTTAATTATAACAATCATTGTAAACATTGGTTGCAAGCTAAATGTTCCGTTCAATATATATTCCCGATACAAGCTTAAATACTTGTCAATGTACAAACACTATGAACGGAACAATTGTATGATGTGCTCATAAGAAGGATATACAATGGGCTTTTAATTATTATATGTACATACGGGCATACATACATACATACATACATACATACATACAAGCATGCATACATACATACATATGTACGCACGCATCATTCACGCGCTTGCACCTGTGTTTAAACGTGTGTGCGTGTCTACGTACTGTAGTTTGGAAAAAGGATTTTGAATGGGTGTTAATGCTTCGAGTATAAGCGTCCCTCTTTCTCTTTAAAAAAAAGGAATAACTTATTACAACTTATGAGCCCTTCAATGTATCATTAAATTCTTTTTACACACTTTCCACAATAATATTGATTATGTTTTGTAACATTAGCTCGACGGAGTGTATAGTTATTGGGCTAGTTAAAGAACCAGCCCGTATTTCGTGGAACATTCGAAGAATCTAGGTCTGCACAAAAAATTGCAGAAATTTTGGAAGCGTACCCCATTTATACTATTTGTTTATTTTGCCGTTTAACGATAGTACAAATGCGACTCCCGATATGAGATCTCAATGTATCGAATTCTCTCGTTGTTACGAACACTTTATCCGCAGGAACATTTCTCTTGTAGCGGTACAGATTGTCGTATCAACGTAAACGAATGCCGCTTCTTATCCAATTTTCGTACAAAGACGGGTTAAGACGTGGCAGTCGAGTGAACAGTCTGGCCGCATCATGCATGTAAATAATCAATATGTAAAAACGAGTCACCTATCAAATATCTAATACTTTAAATGATTTAATCAGGCTCTTTAGACACATCCAGCGCGATTATTTCATCTGATTTACTTTTAGTAATAACGTTACAATTTTTCTTTTAGCATTTTTTCTGAATTCTTTTTTTTTTCATTTTTATATACTCAGCATCGCGTCAAGCATCGAAAATACATTTTATAATCTATATAAGTACTTTCCACGATGATTAGTTGTAATAATCAATGTATCAGAAAGTTATGGTAATTTCCCGAAGTTGCTGCTACATTCGGTCTTGATTGGAAATTAGTATTCATATTTAAAAGAGGAAATTTAATCATCTAAATCCGTTTAAAACGAATTACAAATACTGCAACAGTATTGATTGTTCAACTTAAACTTCCAGTTCTTTGCGATCTTTAACATTTGTTTCTAATATCTTAATGTTCTCGTAATAAAAGTCATCGATCTTATTGCTATACTTCAGTTATAAACTGAGTTAACAAAATTCTTGCGAATTGAATTTGCTTATTGATAGTATCTGGATTTTTCATGAACGTATTATCATACACATCTAGCTTATTTAACAGAATCTAAAACGAATACGGAAAATTTTTAAGTTCATAAAAAACTGTATGCAAAGCGTTAATTGGGCCATGTGGACTGTATACGATGATACTCTCGTTTGTTTAAAAAAGTGGGTACATGAAAGGGACCATGATGCAAACAGAAGGATATGTAAGACAATGGGGATAAATGGTATACTACAAAAACGCTCATTATATGTGTCAGAATGCAAATTTCGACCAGTTCATTGGAAGATGTAGTGACTAATGACTAAACCATGTTCCCTAACAACTCGACTTTATCACGTCAGCATTTTTGCTTTTAGTTTCAAACGCCATGTTCTTCGCGAAAATGATATCTAAAATGACTACCTTTACTTTAAACAAATCCAAACATTTCTGCATTGTATATTGGCGGTCACGATATTAATTGATATAATCATATAGTGAACTAAAATATGTTCGGACATCGTGACCAATCACCTTTACTCTTACATTCCCAATATTCACCACCGTATATGTAGCACAAACTGTCCGTGTATGGATCCTGCTCTTTTTTAAACCATAACGGCTCGTAAGCTTCATACGGTAAACCTGACATAAATGAAAATTATTTAGTTAACTTTCTTCAATAATTGAGAAACTGTTCTCCAATTAATCATGAATATATAAAAGTACCTTGAGTAGCCGCTTTCTCAGCCTCGTGTTCCCGAGCACGTCGGACAGCTCTCTGTTTTTCTTCTAATCGGAGTTTTTCTGCATTTGCTTCATCCCACTGTCCATTTTCCATTAGTCGTTGATCAGGTCTAAATCTAGAATCTGTAGGAGCAACCCCATCCTCAGGCTCATTAAGTTGACACGCTAGTTCCGTAAAATTGTAATACTTTTCACTATCTGAACTACAATAACAAAAGCATTATAACG